TACGCATCCAAAATGTACCTACTCCCGTACCTCAATCAACCAAAGTAGACATGTAACGATCTGCCAACGAAAAAGAGTAGATAATACCTCTCGTTCTACAACATATGTAATTCCTCACATCATCACTCTAAGACTCTGGATCTAGAGACTACAAGGCTAATACACCCTTAAAAACTGAGTTTTGTTGTTGTTGCTTGTGGTTATTTTGATTACAAATAATTATCATAACTGTGTATTATGTGGCTTTTTTTGATTATTGAATAGAACAATGTAGGAGCGCAGTATTATGCAAGATATTGTAACGAAGATCGAAAGGTGGGGGCAATTGCAGAGTACACTTCAGTACTCAGATCCCATCATAGTGCTACTCACATTCCGAGGACTGTAAAGCGAGGGCTTCTCAAATAGTATCTACCTATTGTATCATGCCTTTCTTTCCTTCCTCGGTGCTCTATCTGAATTGCAATCCTGCCGTTTACATATGAGCTATATATATATGAGTACTCTTAGCTGATAAAGCATTCCAGTTCAATTTCTGGACACTTTGAGGTCTCAAAACATATAAAATTTTCAAATATAAATACATTATTAGTGAGATATCAGTTAAATAGGATTAATGTAATCGTATATTAAATAAGTCATTATACTATTTCTTCTTATTATTATTCAATATATTAGAAGGCATTTTTGGTTATATGATTCAGCAGTAGAGCATGATGTCCACAATTCTGAGATGGCTGCAGTTATATGATAGAATCAAATACCACCTGAGACCAATAACTATAATTCCAGTAGAATTAGGAGATTACAATGAAATAAACTTGAAAACCCTAAGCTAGTGCAATTTATACTGCGAGCGTTAAAGAGCGAGCTTTTCATGCATTGCAGGCGCCGCAAACACCGCTCGGCTTTCCATATTATGCAGGCAGGCTAAAAGCTCTAACAGTATTATAGTTAGTGTTATAAATAAGTGTCAGATATCCATTACAGGGTTTTTTTTAAAAATGAGTCATGTCATGCCTTACAGCTTCAGCCCATGAGTGTAGACAACTTGAAAGTCCAGCACGCAGGACTTATGGAATAAGCCATCCCATATAAACTTTTTTTTTTTTAGCAGCCTTAAATGAATTAACACATTAAGGCTTCTAACAAGGAAAACAAGAAAGTGATTAATTTCATTTAGCCATAAAACAGGACCTTACTTTAACATTTTATACCTTTAGCAAGCGAAAAGGAGGTGAAAGACAGTCTGAAGGAAAAACTGTTATTAGAACCCACTATAAATTTCCCAAGTTAAAGTTGACTATCTCAACCCTAGCATCAAAGTGCAAATATAAAAGTAATCTGGGGGCCTGCCTAGCGAAGGAACTAGGCGGGGGGCGGCCCGGGGCCGCGCGTATTACGAGCTCATGACAAAATAAGGGTCGGGCATCACACCATATATCCTCCATCACGCTGATATCAGCCAGAGCGAAAATAGGCTGGACGTACGGTAACATCACATACGAATAGTACCCTTGGAATAAACGAAATAAGAGAAGCACCTCGCGAGTACTCTGCGTAACGTCTCCACAAAACACTCATATATATATGTAATGTATATAGTAACTTTACTGGAGTCTGTCAAAAGTTTGGACATAAATGCACCTGACGCAGCTTGATAAATGAGGGAAGCTCGCATCCAAGGCCTAGGGGCAGTGTTTTTCAACTTGGTCTCTAATATCATCCAGGTATATAACCCTGCCGCTGCATGTATATTAAATGTTTATTACCCTGCTGCCAACAGCACCCTAAATTCAAAATGAAGTGCTCGGTTATCAGTATAAGATACCACTGCTAAGAGCTTATATAGATTAGGCGAGCCCTGATCCTTTGAATCAGCGTGTGTGGAGGAGGAAAGACGTTCCTAAAACATGTCCAGGAGGGCTTGGTCACAGGCCCAAAAATAGAGAGAACCAGTAATGATGTGATAAACAACTGAGCCTATGTTAGGGAATAGGAGCCTGACCTGACGTTTAGCAGAGTGGAGCTGCCCCAACTCA